CATTTTCTGATGCCCAGACTGCAATTTCTTGGCCACGGTTCGTCGCTTGTCCCGTCTGCCGAGTATGATGTCTGGCGTTAAAGTCGCCGGCGATAAGGCAGCGTTCCGGAACAGGCCATCGTATCAGTATGTTCAGGGCATCACTCTCGTTGTTCTGACGATAGAAGTTAACTATCGTCATGCCGTTGATTGTAAGCCATAGAATATCCCGAGTCTGAAAGGGCCGGATCTGATCGGCCAGGAGCCTTGGGTCTCGTCGGACATATGCCATGACTTGAGGCCGAGTGTCGTTACCGCCCCATGTCTCGACAGGTGTGAACGTGTCGTATGCGGGATGGGTTTTAGTCAGGGAGCGAGTGTCTGTGTGAGCAGTCCACGGCTCCTGTAGAAGGACGATGTCGTATCGTTCCGAGTCGGCCAGCGCCAGGGCGCAGTCGTGGGCCGGGGGGATCTTGCCGTTGGCCTGAAAGATCCTGAGCGGCTTCTTGTTGTTCTTTCGCGTCTGCGAGTATCTATTCCTGGTCAAGAGGACGAGTGATAAGAACTATGCGCCGTTTTCGCGGTGAGCCTGGTCGGGGATGCTCGGGCTCCTCCTCCGCTTCGTAGCCCGCCTGAGGGCTTGTGGCCACCATGATGCACGAGGGTGCTCCTGATGCCGCTGGACTTGGACCACGAATGCTCGGCTGTTCGTGTGATGCGATGTCGTCGCATTGTTGGGCTTCCAGATGCGACTCTGGTTGTTGTGCCAGGTGTCGTTGTCGGTATGCCCCCGCGCCAACGGTCCGGACATGTCCTCGTTGCTCTTTGGTGAGTCGGCGGAGCACGCCGTGCACTCTCTTCGGCCGAGCTGGGCACTTATGAAAGTTGGCCTGGTGAGGGCCTAAGCAGTTAATGCACTGTTCTGGTGCAGTGCAATTGTCTATAATGTGGCCAGTCTTACCACAACGTTGGCAAACTGGCTGTCTATGACAGTTGCGGGCAAAGTGGTAGCCCCAACACGTCTCACATTGTCTGGGTCGGTCGGTTTTGTCAATCAGTCTTGCCGCGCTGCTGCCAAAGAGCGACCAGAATCTCTTTGTGGGCTTCAGAAACGACATAAGTAGAGTCTTGGTCAAGGGGTTGTCCGAGAATTGTCGCGTAGGACGTATATCAACAGGCTTGAGCCCCGTCTGGATTTCTATCTCGTCGCTGACGATGCTGTCACTATCCACCTCATTGCCGTGGAAGTCGGTCAGTCTTGTGGGAAAGTCTGAGACCACATAGGTGAACTATTCCTTATTCGTTTCCACTGTCGTAGCACCCAGTTCGGCTGCCCAATCGGCCTGCTTCTCTACAAGAAAGTCGCGTGTTTCAGAGTCGGCAGTCAGGACGGCCCATCCCGATCTGACCTGGAAAGCCTGTCGAGATCTTGTCCGAGACGGCGCCGAGTTTTTCCTGGATCAGGGTCCGGATTGCATAGCTACTGTGGGCTCTGGCCGGAGCCCCGGCTTCTAGACGGATGAAGACACGGAGGTCTTGTCGGGGTGGGGCGATGGTCGTTTGTTGCCCTTGGCGATGAGGTGGATCTGTTTGGCGGCGTCCATGTTGTTGTTGTCTGCGGGTTAGATGGTCACGGCCAGTGGGAGGTGAGGCAGAAGCTACGCTGCTGTAGGTAGGCTTGGAGATGGTAGGTCCGGCACTGGAGAGCTCTCGTTTCCAGGAGTTGAGGAAGCTGTCGGCAAACTGTTGAGCGAAACGCCGTTGCGGTCCGGTGGTAAGCATTAGCGACTAGTGCCCTTTCGGTCAGAACAGGCCGCCGGGCGAAATAAATTGTATTGTATTGTAAAATTTAACAATTAACAGACCGTGCTTTAGCTCTTAGAATAAGTTAAGATCGTTAGCTCATATCCTCTTCTGACGGCCCGGTGTTATCTACATCTATAGACAGCTCGTCATATTCGCCAGACGTGGAATTATCAACGCTAAACGGCGGAAAGAACATAGCAGGTGCTGGCAGTGGGACTGGCGTTAATCTCTTGATACGCCCCGACAGATACTCAATCTCGATAGACGGTGATTGCTCGGTTACTTTCGTTTCTGAACCGCCAGGGATAGGAAATGAGGCTAACGTCGCCGCCCTTTGATCAATGGTCCCTTCTATGCTTTCGTTGGGTCTCCTAGTCTGAGGCTTGGAAGCCTGTGGGAGGATATCTTGTTTGGGCCGCTTTGTATCGACAACTACGATAAAGTGATCATCGGGGAGAACGCCGCCAAGTCCGCAGGGTTCTAAAGGCTGCTGTTGTGACACGTACTGCTGCTCATCGTCGTTCCAAATCAAATCCAGCTCGATGTCGCTGGCTTGTTCACAGTTATTGTTTATCAGACCCGGGTCTCTATGATCACCCTCATGCGTGGAAGAAGTCAGCTGACGTAGACCCTGGCCTCGATCTGTCAATGGCCTATAGCTGATGGAGGACCCAGATGTTGTTCGTCGATGAGAATGAACCAAGTCTAATGACTGCTGAGAATCCCTTCGGTTTTGGCTACTCAAGGGCGTGCGAATGGTTGGTGATACATCAACTGGATCCCCCGATAAATCGGTGCAGAAAGGTACGTCGCTGTAGTATGTGATAGCACCTTCGCGGCGTTGCAATTTGCCAGCCGACCCTCCAGAGTAATTCAAGCCTAAGTCCGACTCGCCAGGATTATCGTCGTCCACGGCTATAGGCGAGTAAACCGACGCATCCTGTGAAGTGTTCGCATCTGATGATCCCTCCCGAATAAACAGTGGCTTGTAACGGAAACTTTCAACTCGAGCATAAAACTGCGGATCAAATGCAGACACATTCTTATTTAAGCCTCCGGATTGGGATTCATTGCTAATGAACGGGCTCGTCTTCTGATGCTCACGTGTCTTTTCCGAACCATCGATATTATTGACCGGAGGACTTTTTTGCAAACCGTGGATAGCGATGTGGCTACTGAACTTGGTATCTTTAGATCCGCCTTGCCATCGGATTTTATGCCCGTCCGTAGATAGCTGAAACCTGGTGCTGATTTCTAATACGGCGGAGCGAACGAAGTCAGGAGTTACGTTGATCAAGTGGAGCTGGGCCAAATTGTATAACAGGTTCAGAGACACCCAGCCTTCAGCGTCTAGGTGGATGTCCTGGATACTCTGCTGTCCAGGCAATATGTCGGGCGACAGTAGGTCCAAATGTCGGATATAGTTCATATTCTCAGACGGAATCTGAGCACGATCAGGGTCCAGATCACAAGGTCGCGTTGGTCGCTGTTTTGGAAGAAGCGGGAGTGGGGGAAACGGCTTGGTAGACGAGACCAAGCCTTTACCATTGCCTTCTGTCTCCATGTTGTCCTTTTCGGGATCAGAGGCCGACCCATGGGCACTTAAATGGCACTGATATTCCCAAGCGCGAGATTGTTGTTCTAGAGGGAGGAATCTGGCTTCCCGGATAGGCTCAGTTCCATGAGTGGGTGGTTGGTAAGCGGATGATGAGCCCGCCACCTGTGTATCCGCTACAACGCGCGCCATGATGAAGCTGCCACCTGGGCGCAGAGGCGACATTTTCAAGACATCGGCACTGTTACTTCTGCCTGTGAAGAACTGTTCAAGGCGACGAACAACAAGACACTTCCGCTCCTCGTCTGTCATGATTACATGCTGTGGGTACAGCCCGTCAGGAACATCTCGTAGATAGTCCTCGACCTTGCCCTTTGATGATTCGGTTGAAGGCAAAATGGGGACGTAAAACGGCGTTCTCGAAGACTCGCCACCGGCTGCCATGGAGGCGTAAGCGGAGTCAGCCGGCCGGAGGCTGGAACCTGTAGAGGAGGGAGCATGGCTGCGCTGAACTCCAGCTTTGGAATATATGTGATCGCGATTGTGGGGGGATATCCTTTTCCTTTTTTGCGATGATGACGCCTCTGGAGACCCATCGTGATCCGCGGCAAGGTCTCTCAGTACGGTTTCGAGCTCTCTCTTTTTCTTTTTGGGCAGCCCATAAACCTTGATCTCGAACAGCTTGTGTTTATGGAGCACGGCCGGACCTGGCTGTTTATAGCGCTTGAGCTCCTTCTTTAGTTGTTGAATCTCGAGTGTTAGGTCGTCGATGACGCTGCGGTAGTCATCAGAGCTACTGCTGTGCGCTGTGATAGGTCCAGGAGGGTCGACATGATGCCGAGTGTGCAATTGTAGCTTCTCTGTACCCAATAAATCAGATTCCTCCCGGGAGGAGGAGAGATTAACTACACGTTTGCATTAGCCTCTTCTAAATTACTACGAGTTCGCTATGGGTAGTGCATACCATCTGCGGGATTTTTGTTGGCGGTCGCGTTGAGGCTTGAGTCGTTATGCCATTCTGGTGGATCGCTTAGCATTGTCTCACGACTGCCGCTGAAGGAATCGAGATGGAGAAAACAATCGGTTGGTGGTGGCGGGGTTTTCTCTGGATTGCTTTGATTTAAGGGCATTTTGGCCCCCGTGAGCAATGCAACGCGGAGCAAGACCCTAATAGGACTGCTTAATTGTCGATGTCGCAAGAATTGCGAGTATAGGCTACATGATAGTAAGACTTTCACGGTTCGACGACCGTGAAATACGGTCGGGAGACGTCTAGCAACGGCCGAGTGTCCTGTAGAGCAACAAGGTGGGTTAGCAACATAAAAAAAAAAAAAAAAAAGAAAAAAAAGAAAAAAAAAGAGAAAACCACTCATAAATGAAACCAGATGAGGACAGGAATCGAGCTGTCGCAAAAGCATCGCAAATAGGATCGTGGGATATGCAGTGGCGAGGCGAATGTGCTATGCTAGCTTTGGGGGAAAGCCCCGAAAGTCATTGATATGCTTACCAAAACGAAATAAAGCTATAACCGGCGACAGCGAGTTGCAGATAATTTCCAGATTATAAAAATTTGCTTCATGTAGGGGTTGTCATAGTTGAGTCTTGTGCGGTTCGTTGGGCTGACGAAATGTCTGGAACTATCCGCCCAGGAGACTGCAAGATGAATCTGCTCTTCTGCGTGAAGGCTTGGCTGCTGAAAAGTGAGGCACTTTTGGTGTAGTCGCCGGGAGGTGATCCAGCAAGAGATGTGTTGGCTGCGATACGTTCTCAAGAACTTGGCTTATTTAGTAGCCGATGAACTCAAATAGAGATTGGAAAATAGTGTCTTGCTGAATGCTTCCCTGCAACTTGCCAGGTCAATAGTCCGGCCCAGGGGTCGCTGAAGCTGCTACGGTAGACAGTAAAAAGGTCGATGTACCTGGGGTTGAATACTGATAGTCGTATTGCAGCAATTAATCATAAAAATGGTTGTGACGAGGAGTCGGTGTATCATGACCGGTGCCCTGAGGAACGTACGGGAACGGGAAAGGATGCGAGATTGAGGAGACAGCAGGCCGAACGTCGCCAGCAGAAACGGGCTAACGGGGTAGGCCACTTGTCACTTGTCCGTGTGGGCGGACTAGTGGAGGAAAAGTGGAGGACCCTGGTGACCCAAGAGCCCGGGTCCCCGATGTGCCGCGGACCTATCGTAGCATTGAAGATACGTTCTGTACCTATTAAGTGCGCCGGAGCCCTACTCCGTCATCTTGAAGACTCCTCGCATAAAATAGTCCGGGCAGAAGGCGGGATTGTCGTAGACGAAGCCATCGCCGCGGTTTGCGACTGCGTAAAGCGCAGCTTGAGGCTTTGTTGTGCACTTGTTAAGGATTTGGGTGGAGATAGATATATGCGATTGCGGCCAGGGATGGGGACAAGTGGAGTCCGAACCTGCAAACAGTGCGAGCAGCGATTAAGTTTGCGATAAGCACAGGACGTTTGGATGCTACACAAACATAAAATACGTACTGACTAACAACTAACATAGCACAACCTCTAGTGGACAGACCAGGCTTCAGCCGCTGAAGATAGGACGCTGAACATTTGGAGAAGTTGTCTTTCAAACAGGCCTGTCGCGGGGACAAGCGGGGCTGGGAAAAAGTGGCAAGCAGCAGGATTGGTCAGGTTGAGGATCTCAGGGGCCAGAGGCCGGAAAAACAATATAGCGAGGTTTGGCGTTGTGGGTCTTGAGGAATAAATTCATTCATGCTTTCTTTCATTCATTACCCTCCTCAGTGGCTGAAGCGGGCATCAACCTTGTAACGGCCAAGAGACGTCGTATTAGCGACGATTCTGTCCATCAGCTACTAATGGATGTGGTCACCAAGGCGCTCGACGCCAACGTCTCCACCATGAGCGAGATCTTTGATTTCTTGCCCGTCCCCACTCTTATCGTCTCACCATCGTATTGCATACAGAGAGCCTCGGCTGGCTTGCTGGAGGCGTGGGGTCGCAGGCATGAAGAACTTATCGATCAAGACCTCTTCATTGCCCTCTACCAGGGCTCGCCGACCGAAAGATTCGATCGTATTCCCTTCGTCTACGCCATTGAGACTGCTCTTGCGGCTCGAGCTCTCCGTCTGTGCTATGCGGCCTATATTGCAAACGGTATTTCTTGGACAGCGCGTATTATACCTGTCCACAAAGATGACGAACTGCTGTGCCTGATGTTGGAATGGGAGAAGGCCGAACTTCACATCACAGTTGCCGATGGTGGAATGACACAGAGCTGGCTGCCTATCGATGATGCCTTCCGCATCCTCGTCCAAGCTGTCAAAGATTATGCCATCTTCCTGCTCGATACTCGCGGAAACGTGATGACTTGGAATACTGGAGCAGAGTTAAACAAGGGTTATAAGAAGGAAGAAATCATCGGTAAGCACTTCTCGACTTTCTATGGCGAGGAAGATATCCGGTCTAGGAAGCCCGAAAGAGAACTCGAGATTTGCTTGCGTGAAGGTAGGGTGGAAGATGAGGGTTGGCGCTACCGTAAGGATGGCAGCCGGTTCTGGGCTAACGTCGTTATCACGGCCATATATAAGAACGACATCCACGTCGGCTTCGGCAAGGTCACCCGGGATCTCACTGAGCGAAAAGAGGCAGAACTGCAGCTAATTGCTGCTTACGAGGAGAGCACGAAGTTGAAGAATGATTTTCTAGCAAACATCAGTCACGAGATCCGTACGCCAATGCATGGTGTGCTTTCTGCTTGCTCCCTGCTTCTGGATAGCCGCCTAACAGAGGAGCAGCGGGAGACGGCCAAAATGATTGAAGAGTCTGGCCATGTTCTGTTGCGGATTATCAATGATATCCTCGACTACTCCAAAATTGCGGCAGGCAGTTTTTCCATCAAGAATGACAAGGTTGATATCGCTAGTGTGGTCACATCGGCCGTGCATTCTGTGCAGACCACTGTGCAACCGGGAGTGTCGCTGAGACTGGTCTTGTCACCAAACTTGCCAAAATGGGCAGAAGGGGATCCTTTGAGGTGCCGCCAAGTTATTGAGAATATTGTCAGTAATGCCGTGAAGTTTACCGAACAGGGGTACATTATGGTGAGCGTATCGCTGCTTGCGGAAGACGTGGCCACCCATACAATCCTGATTGAGGTCTACGACACTGGACATGGTGTGACGGAAGATGACGCCCAGAAACTGTTCAAGCCATTCACGCAGCTTGATACTCCGTATCAGAAGCGTCGCCAAGGAACTGGGCTCGGACTGTCCATCGCAAAATCAATCGCTGAGCTGTTGGGTGGGAATATTGGATACAAACCTAACCCGGAACGGCAGGGCAGCATCTTTTGGTTCTCAGTCAAGCTTAAGAAGCTCAACAGCCTTCAGCAGATTCAAACGGTCGACGCTCTGCCAGACCCTAGCACAGCGCTCATCATAAATCAATCAAATCAACTTTGAGGTAAAAGTTGATTTGTTTGATGGGGCTTCGGTCCAAAGTTGATTTGTTTGATTTGATTGGCTCGTCTCAATCAATTGTATGGGAGGCCTATATATTGAGTATGTGAAGGTATTACGCCGGATCCAAAGCCTCAATTACCGACCCAACTGCCCAGCTTTACCCCGCCGTGTCGGACCCAGTTCCTCAGACAATGAACTCGCTCCAGCGTGTCGGCGCCCATTGCGAGCCTTTGCGATGTTAGTGTCAGCTTGGCTAGGCTGAACTGCCTCTCGCAGTCGGTTGCCATAGCCGGAATGGCAAAGACATCCAAGGCAAAGCTGCTTAGCACCGGGAATGAAGGCTTGTGGTCCCTCCACCATTGGATTGGCTCTTGCGTATCTTGTGGCTCAAGACGGAGGTATTTGTCCATCTCGCTAACACTGCTGCTCGTTGCAAATGCCTTTTTCGTTCTGCTGTTGATCCATTGCGTGTAGTGATCATCCTCTTTACCCCTGTTCGTTAATGATGAAGCAGACTTCGACTGTAAGTCGTCCGTCCGCTGGTTCGATTGATACCACCGCGCGAAGTAGTCCTTTATGCCCGCCTTCGCATCGCGAACCCAGGCCAATTGCTCCTCAGTGGCCCAAGTAGCCTCCAACCAGCTGATGCCGAATCTCGGATGAAGGATGACTGCTGCCGCAAACAAGGGAGATTCTCCGAGCTTGCTGTAGTATTCATCCAGCTTCTTCCAGCCGTTGTTGATCGATGCCCGAATATATGCTCGGTGGTCTGCTGGTAATGAGCTCTTCTGGGAAATCTTAGACGCCGGTGGCTTGTCAAGCGCCGCATACTCAGCCTGAGAATGCTCCGGCAAGGCAGCTACCGTGAAAGTTGGCGCTTGACTTCGCTGTTGGGATACATAGACCTCTTCCCCATCGAAGCGAGCAGGGCGACGGCGGGAACGGGCCGGCCGGATGTTAGTCCCCCTCAGAGGCGCAGACGCTCTTCCAATTAGTTCGGGATCATTTAGATTCGTCGCCCTTATTGTTTCGGTCGTGAACTCATTGTAGAAGCCTTTCCAGTCTTCAAAATACTCGAGCAGGTATTCCATTCCTACCAGAACTTCCCACAGGCGCCCATGGCTGTCGCCTTTACCCCAGCCTTGGGTTCGCATTGTCTGATGATATAGAGGCGTAAGTATCTCGTTGACCTCACCAAGCACGCGCCAATCCTCGTTGGATAAGATGTCATCAGCAGGGATACGTTTTTCTTCGTCTTTCTCGCCTTCGAGTGCAAAGATGTAGGCCCTGATGTCAGTCTGCTTCCGCAAAGCCCTCTCTATCATCATATAAGTAGAATTCCACCGCGTCTTATTATTCAAGATGACCTCAAGCTCGGCGGTTAATTCCTTGCAAAGATGGTACCCTTCGTCCTCCTGCTCGTGAGCGATGCGCTTGAAATATTCGCTGCGCTGAGGTGAGGATCTGATGAACTTGACGATATTGTGCAGCTTCCTAATTGGGCCCTTTGAACGCCAATGGCGAAGATCTTGCTCCTGAAGACCTCTCATGCCGTTGATATCTGACTCTAGCTCGAAAGATTCGGCGTCTTTACCGAAAAGAAACGCGCGGGCAACAAGGTTAAGAACGTGGCCGTAGCAACGCATGCGACGGGCCTTGATATCAGCCGGCCGGATCGAAGGGTCAAGCTGCCGGTAGAGGTAAGAGAGACAGGTATCATTCGTAGTCACGTTATCAGAAATGACCGTGCCAACCTATCCTCGGATATCCCACAGTTGAACGATTTCGAACAATGTCTCGGCAAGATTCTCACTACTGTGGATACCTAGCTGACGGCGTAGAGCGAGCAGCCTGGATTGTTGGTTCCCGAATTTGTCGATGAAGTGTGCAAAAACTGCCATTATTGCAAGACGGTTCGGTGATGTCCAGAGATCAAAGCTGATGTGTATTTTTGTTAGGGCGCTGCCTAGCTCCGCTTTGATGATATCTGCCTTAGACTCGAAGATCTTCTGTAGCTCTCTGGTAATAGAACTGCTACTCCAAGGAATTTAGAGTGCTAGTTCATAGTCAAACTAATAGAAGAGCTCCTTTAGAAACTTATGCTCGAATATTATAAAGGGCACATCACTGTCAATAACGAACCCAACACTAAGTTCTTATATAGCTTTGACCTTTGCCTTTGGTATTATGCTCTGGTTAAGCCGTGGTCGTTTGGGGGTTGCATGGGACTGGAGATTGATCGCGCTATTGTCGCTGGGGCTTGATTGACTCGCTGGGGTGATCCGATGGGCTCTGTGTAAGTCAGTATATGGGATATGTTGGTATAGAGGACGGATCCATACTTGCGAAGATGATCTGCTGCAGAAGATGTCGCTTGTACTGAGAAGAATTCTGGCCGACCCTTCGTGTCGCATCGGCTGCAGCACCACACATGACCGATGGGCTGATCCTGGTGATTCAATTCAATGAAGAACATGCCGTGCGATCTGATCCAACTTTTTCTGCCTTTTGCACCTTTCCGAGCTAGCGAATCTTCTTGAACGAAGCGGCGGTTCTTCCAGACGACCTTCGGTAGATCCTCAATAGTCGGGTTAGGGGGCAGCTCCCCGACCGAAGCCTCCTCGAGCTGCTTGGCCACGGTCCTTGGTTGAGACAGTCGCGAGAACGCAGAGGGAAAAAGTGGCGTGGGGCAAGGCGGCGATAGCAGGTACCAACGAGGCTACGGCTTCATATAGGGCTAAGAAGTATCGCCTATCTGTGGCCATCTTGTACAGGGTAGGACTGGGCGGAGGGCACGTCCAGGTTTAATCTTTTTGGGCAGTTCAGATGCAGCATGGCATATATCAACTTTATCAAATCATGTCAACTTACAAATCACTGGAATTGATTTGATTGAGGCAAGGAATTGACTAAGTTGATTGATTTGATTGGGGTGATTGATTGATTGAGTTGATTTATGATGAGCGCTGCCCTAGCAGCGACCTGTCGCGACAGGAGGTTTCACAAGGCGAGGATCTTGCGGAACAGCTGACTCAACTGATGAAGATCTCACCGATGGCGCGGATCCTCGCGGCCGAGGATAACATTATCAATCAAAAAGTCCTGGTCGGAATGCTGCATGGCTTCGGATTCCAGTACATAACAGTTGTCTCAGACGGCGCCCAGGCGGTCTCGACACTATCCGCGGCGGCCGATGCCTTTGATCTGATACTGATGGATATTAGTATGCCGGTCATGAATGGTTACGAGGCAACGGTCCGGATACGGAACAGTGGCATACGTCTACCCATAATCGCCATGACCGCCTACGCGCTAAAGGGTGATATGGAGCGTTGTTTAGAGAAAGGAATGGATGACTATATCGCCAAGCCAATGAATAGGCAACTGCTAATGAAGAAGTTGCTAAAGTGGCTTGTACTCCCGGGCGGTGCGGTGCTGGCCACCACTGCACGAGGGCGACAGAAAATTCCGCCTTATCAGCATTCGACTTCCCAGCAGCAGTGTTGAAATCTGTTTGTGGACTGTGTCTTTGGCGGCGAAAGGCTCGCGTCTCTTGCAGTAATCTTTGAGGTTGGGCACAATAGCTTTATAATTGTCGTTGGCTAGGAAAGGATCTTTTAGAACGCCTTTGTCTTTTCTTTGGGTGAGCGCTTATTAGTATACAGGATGACGATGATGGGGCTGGTGGTACTACCGTCGCCGCCATCGATAGCCCCTTTGTCTGAGTGACTTCAGTTCGGGACGGCATGCCTCTTAATCTGTCAGAAAGAGTCGTTTGAGGGAAGCCCCGTTTCTGGGCCGATCGGTCTTATGAGAGACCATTGTCTGTGACATCTAGTATACAATCGACAAACCACCCCCTGGGTAGGATGTTGGGGTCATTCTAAAGACATTTCGCAGGGTTGCTGCATGTATAAGTCAGGTGAGGCTTCATGGTGGCCGGCATGGGAAGAAGCCATCTGCAGAAGTTTTACGCGAGGGGTTTGTGACCATATTGCTCCTATGGATAAACAAATAATATCCTGATGACAAACAACACGGCTTTCTCAATAGTTCGAAAACATTTTTGATATACTTAGTGCCGTTTTTGATCAAATATCGCATAACATAACGTACATGATAGATGAGTGGATCAGTCAAGTGAGCGGATTAAAAATCCCTCAACCTTACATCTAACTATCTGATCATTCATCACGCGCATGCGACCAGACGACGGAAGCATAGTCCATCGCCGGGGCAACAGTTGCCACGAAGAGTCGTCTGGCCGTAATTGGCGGCAGCATCTTCAGTCTCCTTAGACACATGGCTGCCGAGAGACCTTTGGTAGCGGCCCTGGCCATGTGTTCCTTAAACCTGAGCTTCGTGTCCATGACCATTCCCAAGATCTTGACCTCCTGCTTCGGCTTGACTTCTACTCCTTTGATCATGAATGGCATATGGCTGGTGCGTTCGGTGACGCGTGTGAAGTGGATGACGGTGGCCTTGTCACATTCGATCGTCGCTTTCTCGCCCCAAAGTGGTTGGTGGGTAGGAGTCCGAACCTCTCCACAGCGTACGAGATCCTGGCCGCCACCACGGCTTCAAGGATCTTGCCCAACGTCGACAGCAACGAGATCGGCCTCCATGCTTTTTCGATACTGTAGTCATCCTTCTCCGGCTTCTTGAGCGGGATGATCTTGGCGCTCCTCCACTGGTCCGGCAGTTGTCCTTCGCTTAGTAGTGTGTGGAACAGTTGTATCACCCGTTCCGTCACCACTGGCCACAGCTGCTTCCACACCATCGCCGGCAGTCCGTCTTCTCCGGGCGTCATCCACCCCTTGGCTTCCATGACCTTCTCCTCCACCTCCTCCACTGTCAGGTTTGGCATGGCCACTTCTCTGCGCCGCGGTCGTAGACCTTCGTCTTCTATGTTCTCTGGGAGTGGTGGGAAGAATACGCCGAGCAGCTCTTCCGCCTCTTCGGCCTTGTCCTGCGTTGTCGTCCCATCTGCTCTTTTGAGTCGAGGAACTTTATCGATGACCATGTCGCCTCCAGCTTTCAGGTACTTGGGCGGCTTGCCAGATGTTGGTGCCACCTGCCAGGAAGTCATCCCAGTAGGCCTTCTTTTGCCTTTTGATAGTGTCATGATACTCTTTGGCTGCTTCCTTGGCTCTATTTTCTAAGTTGTCCAGTCTGTGGCCTGCGCAGCACTGGGTCTTCGCCAGATTTCTTCAGAATGTGTAGGTTCTTCGAAGCTGTGTGAGGTCGGTCGTCCACCATCCCTTCGCGTACGGCGATGGCTTTGCCCTAGGTACCAGTTTGTGAATCGTGTCAAGGACCACCTCCATCAACCTATTCGTCTGTTCCTGAACTCCGCCGCCACCAAGTGAGTGGTGCGAGCCTGTCCTGCACTCTCGCCTGGATCGCATTCCATGCTGCGTTCTTGAACAGCAGCCTCGAGTCCGTTGTTCTCTCCGGCGTCGTGAGATCAAACTCGCTCTGGATGGCCCTGTGATCTGACCCATGCTCGGTCAGATGCATGCCGCAGTGAACCACCTCTTCTGCCAGCTCAGTGGATGTAAGCATCAAGTCAATCGTGATCTCACAACCCGGCTCTTCCCACGTCTTCGTCCCTCGTGGTAGAAGGCTGAGTAGCCTGTACTCATCCATGAGGTCGATGATCGGCCCCCCTTCACCTTGTCTCCTGCCCGTCATCTCATCTCCTGCCCGTCATCTCATCTCCTCCCCAGAGCTGGTCATGGCGATTGAAGTCGCCCGCCAGAACGACGTCCGTTTTTTTGCCGGTGTTGTTGCGGAAGTTCGCTATCATCGTATGCAGATGCATCGTGGCTGTGTGCAAGGCATAGTCGTCTTTTCCTCCCACATATACCAATACCACCAAGACTTCCCGATCGGGCCAGCATAGTATTGCTCCCATAAGGTCGGCCGAAGCTATCGGCACCTGCTCCGCCTCTAGATCGCTGCGGATCCAAAGCATACTGCGGACCGGCCACTGCATCGCATATCTCTTTATCGGGCAAAACTTGATCCAATTTCTGTGACTATTCGGTGCCTCCGTCGTACCTGGCAGCACCTCGCCGGATGAGTCTAGTACCGCAGTTCTATTTGTGCCATCGACCTTGACGGGGTATAGCTGGTCTCGGATGACTCTCGTGCCCTTGACAACAGCTTTCTCTGCCACTTCTCTGACAAGTTGCATTTCCGCCTCGTCCCGGCACACCACCTTGATGCGGTCTGCGTTCCTTGTATCTTTTATTACGGCTGCACACCTCCAGCTCTGTCGGCCGTCCCTTGCCCGCACCTTCTCTTCGATCGCTAGACGGACCTCCCTAACTTGTGACTTAGCTTTTTTCTCTTCGCCAATAGGCGACGTGTCGATGGTGTAGAACAGCGTATCCGTGGGCGTAGATGGTGGCATGTGCTCGCACAGCTCGACACAGCTCTTGCGGGGTAGTTCACTCTCCCCATCAATGATTAGGATCGATTACATTCCTTTCCTTCCCTTGCTTCCCCAAAGTAACACCATCACTTATCACACATCCGTTCCAATGTCAATGTCAAACCCGCAACAAGACATGTCAATAGTTCCATTGCTGATTGCTCCATTATGAATCTACATCGCAACTGAGCCCACGTACGCACCAAGTATGTTTTATACCCAACAATCCATCAAATTGGAAAACCAACGCCATTTAAGGAGCCATCCAGCCTGTTGCAAGGCCTCCCGATGAGCACTTCATCAGGGCACAAAAGTAACAAGAAATATATACAGAGTTGCACATGCATACATTACAAGGCGACACAGACAAGGCTTCGCATCTTCGCATCCATCTCCTAACGGCTCCCTACCGTCTTTGCAAATAAAACATCGACAAAGCATGTAACATAACTGTGGCCCCCTTTACCAGCTTCAATGTCGTTGGATAGCTGCGTACCAATATCATTGGTTCCAAAATGACTCATTGACTGCAGCTCGATACCTGCTGCTGGCAACTGCTTGGAGATTGTTTTCTCGATTGTTATGGTGTCAGCTTCGGAACCGTTGCTAGGCTTCCTTCCAGCTGTTTCATTTCCTTCTTGCACATCCATGTTGATCTCTTGAAACATCATGATGCTGCGGTATGATGGCACTGTCTGGAGTGGTTCCTGTCGAGGTAAATATGTTCCTGACCCCTCTGTTGAATCAATCGATTGGGTTCGGTTATCGCCCCGCGGCGAGCAAAGATTGATGGTCGAGCTGGATTGTGTCGAGCTAATCGACGAAATTCGATGTCCAGCAATATTTGATATAGACTTTCCCCCGGTCCGAATACGTCGAGATGTATCCGACCGTCCAATCGCTGGCCGATTGGACGAAGAGGGATTTGTGCCATCTTGAGAGCCTTCACAGCGACCCGCTGTCTTTGTGATGTGCCCGAACTCTTGGTGCACCCCTTGAGTGAACTCCTGATAAGACTGGGTCGACACTTGCCGCATTCTGAAGAAGCTCAGGGGCACAAACTCGCAGTTGGGGCTCGACAATACTGAATGGATGGGAATCACAAGCCGCATTGCTATCATCGTCGCTTCTGCTCGCTTTTCATCTCCACGGCAGGGGATCCGGAATGTTGTCGATGTAAGAATCGCATCCTCGAGTAAGGGCTCCCGGGTCCATTCCCGCAAAGCCTTGATGGTATCTGCGATCTGCCCGGCGAACTCGGCCTCTCGGTCACTGCGCTTCGAATCCTCCTTGCATTTCTCTACAATCTTGAATACCGGCACGTTCTCAAATTTGCTGAGGTAGTGCATATGCCAATCTTCAAGGTTCTTGAATGGGAAGGGCATAGTTGGAAGCAGATGACGTGCGCCTTTTCTTACGAGGACTTCAAAGCTAGAACTGACACGGGCTCGGATCGCAAAGAAGCCTAGATGGGTTCCTTGGTGAATATGGTTGTGTTCGCTCGTGTAAATCGCCATTTCCCTCAGCTTGGTGTCGAATTCGAAACTTTGGATCTGCATGCTCGATTTGATGAGGTCGCTAACTTGATGCAACTCAGCAAAACGGTAGCCGGTTGATATCAATCGCTCAGTATCGCGATCCGACTCGGAGCGGCGGACGAGAAACATTAGTGATCCACGACCGTAATCGTGATTTTGCATATGCTGACTTTTTTCGGTGATATTCAGACTGCTGTGGATTTCCCCATTGACGCCGCTACCGGTACCTTCCAAACCTAGCCCGGCGTTGGATTGTTTGCGCAGTTGAGTCCGAGGCCGCCTACCAATCGCACCTGTCGGCAGAATCTGATCCCACAGAACTCCAATTGATGTTAAATCTTCTCGAAGTCGGCCAGCAAGGGCAGCGGCGGCAAGACAGAAAAGTTCCCTGAAGATCATGTCGTAACTGTCGATGGTCTCGCCATGTTCACTCACAAGTTGGATGCCTCGTCGTCCATCTTTATGAGTACGGGAGTGCGGCAACTGTGATACATGTTGTCTCATGCCTCCCATGAGACTCCAGATCATGTTCCAGTTTGTTGATGCTTGGTACATCCAATGAAATAGCGGGTGACCAATGTTGAATCCTTCCTTTGAGTTCTACTTTGTTTAGCATCAACTCTGAAATTTGATTGGAATCTGGTCTCACCTTTTCCAAAAAAGAGTCGGTCACCACAGTGCTTGGGATACATCCATCAGGGTCGACGAGAATCCTTCCTCCGTTATCAAAGATTGCTGCTGCAAGTGTGATCTGCTGGGCGCGAAGGGCGGATCTTCTTATGTTTCTTGCGTGAAGAATCGCTGAGGTGCCAATGATAAAGCAGGCTCCCAGCGACTGGTGTATGTTAGCAGGATCTTCTATCGAACCCCCTAAAGACTCGAAGAATTCATGCACTTACCATGCAAATGACGACAACAACTGTGCCTGTTCCCGACGGCTCGTTGCCATTAGGCCTGATCCTCTTTAGCCGATATCGAGTTCCTACAGAAGCACACCAATGCATTCCAGAAACTGCTCCAGCAAGTACAATGGTCGCGATGACTCGCTTCCACCATGCATTCACCCACATAGCTCGAAACACGAAGAACATGGCCAAGGCGACGTTGCTCACGACTATAGCGATAATGGCGGACCCTATAACGTATGCTGGCTGATACACACATGTGTAGTTGTTGATGGAGGCATTGCCGAGGTAGTGCATCCCACATACCGCAGTTCCACAGAGGAAGCCACCGGCTATGAGTCTCCACCACGAGACGGCGTTGTTGGTACCGACAGCCATGAAGGAAGCGAGAAGAACCAGGATTGGGACGAAGAATGATATAGCAGTGAAGCCGCCGGAATAAGCTACTTGCAGCTCCGGCTGTCCATCGGCGAGGTCGATGGCTCTGTTACCGATGAAATGCTATTCAAATAAGACGGCGATGAGTATATGTCGAGGAGTCAAGTACGAAACGGAACACCACTCACCATACACCAGATGGATACTCCACCCATTGTGACGGCTGAGCTCATGAGTAGCAGACTGTTTCAGTTAGGGCCCTTTTCTGACGAAATCTTGGCATGTGGTTCCAAGGCAAAGACATACTGGTTGAAAAGGCCTCGAAGACCGGTTCGTCGGTTGATGAGCTCGAGGGTTGAACCAGCACCGACGAGGCTGACTACGTAGCTCAGAGCAACGAAGCTAGCGTTGTAGCTTTGAGGCACAATATGGCCTTGATACCGATGGAGCAACTCTTCGGTAGACATGGTGGCCATGGAGGCAGACGTGCGGGGGAGCAACGACGAGTTGCTGCCACCGTGTTTGGTGAAAAGAAGTGTCTTGGGTGGGAAGCAAAAGACATCTGGGACAACAGAGGTTCTTAACTGACACCTACATAGTAAGGACCGAGCACCTGCGGGTTTTTTCTAGTGGGGTTTGCCATATAGGCCCTAGCCACTACGGATACGCATTCACGATCTACCTGATCTGAGCTGGTTGTCCACTCAGCAGTTGGGGCCTCCGGATTCACCACAAGGGAGAGGCATATGCAAGGTGAGAACCTGCTCTCTGATCACCACTAAGAGACGAGACGTGGACATTGAAGGGGGCTGGGCGATGCTTGGCGCTCAACCGAGGGCCGTCAGTGCTAGCTTGCAAGTGCGATTTCTCTTGATGGTCCCGAGTCTTGGACAGGGAGTAACCCTCCTATTTGAGAGATGCGTCCGTAGTATGCAAGCATAAGCGTAATTATGATGTTTTTGGCGCGCTCTGACCTCGTAACAGGCGAGTGCTTTTGTCACTTAATTTGGTTGGTCCATTGACTTTAGCCGCCAAGCGTCCGTCTGATTGGATCGAACTCTATCTGGAGCATTGAGTTTAAAAAAAAACCCCGAGCAGGGTTCTATCCCCGAAGGATGGCGTCGGTTGAGTGAAACGTAGCTTCTCGAGCCATAAACAGGTGTGTATGGACGACCATAAAGTCTCTCATCCTCCATCTCCGGCCATCCAGGTCCGTTCACCAGTCTGCTCTAGGCGGCCAAAGCTCTTGCGATTCGGCTGATGTCTTGTCGTCCCTTCTCGTACGCTGCCAAATCCCGGTTTCCGTACACATCTCTACCTGTTGAGTAACCGCTGTCGAGATCGCGGAAGAAAACATTGACTGTAATGCTGAGGTCCTTAGTTGGGCTGGCAGTATGAAATCACATCGCTGGGATAAACAAGAGATCACTTGGGTTTAGAACGGTCTCGTATCTCCCCAGAGCGCAAGGGCCGGTCACGAGGAGGGGTCCGAGCCAATTAAAATGCGCAAAATTGAGGGTACATAATTCGCCACCTAAATCATATGATGATAGAAATCCCAACAATATTGGTTCTTACAAATCGCAACGTTGCACAATTTGCAGCCGTACCAAGTCTGCTTGCAAAGGTTCCTCTTGTTGCCGTCAGTCTCCTTCAGGGGGCTTCTTTTCTGACCCTTTGCCCTCATTTGACCCTAGGTGCTATTTGCAGGCGATTTGGTCCAAATCGTCCACCAAAACAGGGTTGCGAGGCCAACAAATTTAGCGCTTATCGTTTTAGTCGAAGCCGAGTCGCTGATTGGTGCTTAGGATTAGCCAGCGTCAACTTGGGATTAGCTAACGCCGAAGTTGCTTGTTGATTAGCGCATAAACAAACTCAAAGTGAACATCTACCGGTAATAATGGAGGAATGCATGCACTTGAACGAGGTGTATCAGATGCTGCTTTGCCGGCTCTGTACAGATTACCTTGATGATGTTGGTGTTCCTAGCCCCTCTAATCACCGCTGCGCATCTCCATCTCTCGTCCTTCTTTCTTGTCCTCACAGCGGCTTCGATAGCCTGTGCGGCAGCCTATAGAGGTCACTGTTGCAAAACCCAAAAAGCACGCTGCAACTGACAAAATGGGTTAGCGCGAATGCATTGAGGGCCCCACAGTACATTGAGGCATGTACCTTAGGACCGTGATTCCTTTAGTTTGAGACGCAAGAGTAGGTTCGGCAACAGCAGCGGGGTCGCAGCGGACCAGCGAAGAGCAGCTTCGTTGTACGATGGATATAAAGGCCCCTTAACCACCCTCCACATCGGACGATAATCAAGGCTTAGTTACCTTCGTCCTCTCCATCTTCATCCTCCTCCACGCTCTCCTCGTCTAGCTTGTTAAGTTGCTAGGCGTTAAGTTAATAGTGGAACTTAGCTGGCGAGTTTGATTCACCTACAGTCCAGAGCCGAGCAGCCTCAGCAATAGCCTCCAACGCTGCAACCTTTCGCTCCTCGAGAGTCTTCCCATCTGCCTCACCACGTGGAGCCAGAGCCGGAGCTGGAGCGGCACTGCAGGCACGAAGCTGCTGTGCTGCACGCTGGGCGGCGGATCGCCAGGCATCGCAAGGATCCTCGTTCATATCGTCAATCTGCCGGTTCAGCTCCCAAAAGGCACGCACAGCAGCGACTGCACCAGGAGGGACCTAGATAGCAGCTAATTAGCAGCTCACTAGCCGAGAGCTGGAGAAGACTACTTACAGGCCTACAGGTATGACCATTCTTTGCGCAGGCCCAGCAAGCGGCACCAGTATCTATCCCATATATGTTGGCCTGGCAAGCTTAAATAGCAAAACAAGCTACTTACTGTCCTGGGAGGCGTACCCATACCCTGGGCTCTTGGTGGCGCGAGTAACGCAGGGGCGGCAGGGGAAGTCACGCGCAGAGCCAATGGGAGGGGCCTTCTTCTTTTGCTTCTCCTTCTTCTGTTCAAACAGAATGTTAGTAGCGGTCTCGGCTGTATAGCAGCTGACTGAATTTACCATAATTCTGCCCGCGAATTTGCGGCCGCTAGGCTGGACCTTTCCTTTGTCCTTGCTGCTTTGGTTCTGGGAGGGATCCTCATCCGCCGAGACAGAGACGGCCGTTCCAGACATCGGGGATCGACAGCGATGGCGCTGCTGATTACCAGCTTATTCGCTACGAGAGCGGTGCTCGTCGGAGGCCGCTCAATATATTTGGCGATGATACTAGCGCAGGGGGTCCAAGCTAAATAAGTATATCAAAGTTGTACTTTGAAGGCGAGGATCCAAGCACACTTCTCAGGCACATGGTGGAGAAGGAGAGGGAGGAAAGAGGTTGAAAGGGATTTGGTGTTTTTTTTAAAAACTTGCAGTCACTTCCAAAGGTGGGGTCCTAATTGTTCCACATTCCCCAATAAATAGTGGCATTGCATTTCGTCTCATTCACTGGTTGCCCAGTCCGCACCGGGCCAGCGGTTGAGCCGCTGCGGGGCAGTGCAAATTAGCCAATTCGCCTTGCTTAAATAGGGGCTCCGTCTTAACAGTCCACCTTTTCCAACACCAAGAGATCGCCCCTGCCTACATATTCACCTCCAACGCCATGGCACGGCCACCTAGTCCCATCGATCAGTACCGTGACTATATCACCTTTCTGTACCTCAATGGCGCCTCGCGAAGCAAGATCAGGCATAAGCTCCGGAAGCGTCACCAAATCGCTGTCGACCTCAGCACAATCTCCCGGCGGATGGCCAGCTGGGGACTTCCGCGTCAGCAATCACGTACCATTGAGACGCCTGAGCTTATAGAAGCTATCCGCGACCTTATCTTCCGCGTTGGTCTTACCGAAAAGCAGACCTTGAGTGTCCTTCAGAGACAAGGCTGGCCCATCACCAAAAGAGGTTTAAAACGGATCAGACTTCACCCGGACCGCCGCTGGGTTCGTCGCATCAATAGCGATGAAGAACGCCTTGCCTTATTGGAGAAGACAGAGCAGGTTATTGTCGAGATGGCGCAGCGGTCTAATGCCATTGCAGGATACGGCAGAAGGTTTCTCCAGCCATATCTGCGCCAGCAACAGCAGCTCTGGGTACCAAGAGATCCCCTCTTTGAGATGTACAAAATTATGTTCCCAAACGAGGTTGAGATGCGCAAAAGGATGATGCGGAGGAAGAAAGGACAGTTCCTTGTCCCGGGGCCAAACTACCAGTGGTGTATTGACGGCCACGACAAGCTCAAGGCGTATGGATTCGAGATATACGCCGCAATCGATGCCTACTCACGCAACATTATCTGGTTCTATGTTGGCCACTCTGCTACAACCGCCTTGAGTGTATTGAAGCAGTATTTGGCTGCATGCGACACCTATGGCTTCCGCCCGTGGTTTCTTCAAGCAGACCGGGGCAGTGAAACGCCATTAGTCGCAGCAGCCCACTGGAACTTTGCTTTGGCTGCAGGCGGATGCGTGGAATGGAATGGGCAGGTCTTCCAGCAGGGCAAACGATTGAAGGATTCCTACAAGGCGGCACCGAGTACGAAGAATGTCAAAATCGAAGGTTGGTGGGAACGCATGCTTCACGTCTGTTCCCGACAGTGGGTAGACTACTTTGGAGAGCTTGCTAGGGATGAGGATTTTGACGGCAGCATGCTTGAGGACCAGATTGCTATCTACGCTGTCTTTGAAGGTGTACTGCGTCAAGAGCTCTTCGACTTCGTCGAAGCGTGGAATCTACACAAAATACGCCTCCAGAAGAACCGTCCCCACGTTGTCCACGGCCAGCCCTGGATGAATTATCATTACCCTGACCCAGACAAGGCCTGCAATTGGGGGATCCCTATCGACCGCCAGGTTCTAAGCGAAATGCTACGACCCCTGGCTGGTATCGATATCAGCACATGTCTAGAGCCAGAGACGAAGGAGTGATGCCGCGATGTCCTCGCAGAAATGGGCTACGATGACGTAGTCCTCGGCAATCACCAGGACCCTGATAAGCTGCGTCCTTTCAAGCGCTTCTACCTTGCCCTTCGAGACAGGATCATTCAACACATCGAAAGTAGACAACCACCTGTGCTGGCGTACCGTAGGGCTTCAACTGGGGGAGTTGCTGAATATGTAAGCTACCGCGTCTGTCTGCGCATTAAATTATGTAACTACATATAGGGAGCATTACTTGCACGAGCAAATCAAGCCCGGCAAGACGAATTGGAAGATGGGGAACCAGCAGAACAGCCACTTGTTGAGTTTAGTGTTGAAGACGAAGAAGGAAATGACATCGAGGAAGTAAGTGATGATGGGGAGGATGGTGACCGGTCTGATGGGGAACCCGAGTAGTCAATCCTTCCTTTTTCTGGGTCGAGAGGCAAAGGTCATGGGAATCTTTGTGCCTCTAAAACGTGTAGACTGGGCGGGGGGGCAGTCCTTCAACAGCACCATCCGCGTATTGTTGGGTTTGGGCTCCTTCGATGGAGTCAGGGATGACTGCCGAGTGCGGGCTTACCTGCTGAGATCAGTATTTCGATAGGCAAGAACTTAGTCTGGTTGCATACGAACTCCTTGAAAAGACTTGTCTCGCTCGAACAGTCGACCTCGTCCTCTTGGTCTGCATCACGCTCGTCTCCCTCCCCATCAGAGACGCTATCAAGCATTAGATCGGTGACCGCGTCTTCGGATTCGCTGAGGTCAACCACATCCCCCTTCACCACGATGTTGTCGAGGATATCGTTACGGTCCTCATACGCCAAGTTCAGGTAGGTGGGAGCTGGAACTGCCTGTTCCTGCTTGACCTGTTCCCTGTTCTTCGTACCATTGCCCTGATTGATCTGCCTCTCTTGCTTGATACGTTTCTTGAGCCCAGGAGCTGGGCTCGAATCCTCCTGTTTGACCTTCCGTTTCTTGCCGTCCTTGGCCGGTGTTGAGTATTCGTCTGGCCTTAGCGGTGTGATTGGCTCCTGCTTGTCACCCACGTCTGTCGATGTCAGGACGACGAGCACCTTTAACTGGCCCGCTTGGTTGTTCGAAAAGTGCCCAGAAGTGAGCATGCTTGAGGGCGTCGTGAACTTATCGGTATTGGGAACGGTGACGATTTTCTTTCCAGAGAAAGACGAAGCGTAAGAAAGCTTCCAAAGCTCTTGGTTAGTGGGGTCTATGGTGCTCGGGAGCGGATGTAGGTGTTCGAATAAGGTCTGAGTGAACGAGGGCCAGGTAAGGAGGTCTGCCGAGCTGAACTTGATCACCGTATCTTTTAGAGGCAGCACTGTCTCTGGGACCTCTACCGCAAGACCATTGAAGTACCTTGTCTCCAAGCTCATGAGTAGGAGACTGATGTGGACCCATTGGTAGCCAGTACGCTGCCTCGTAGGCTTTCTGGTGCTGCTTTTAGTGTTCTGAATGGCTTGACTAGCCGCCGAGGCAATCGCCATGAACTGCGGATGGGGAGGACCGCTTGACGGCTTGAAAGGATGTTGGCGTGCCCGTGTATTCGCAGTCACCCCATTGGGGACAGACACTGCGTTGGGGAGTAGTTGTGCATACCCAATAGCGGCAGATGACACTGGCTTTGGTTTGTCGCGCATAAGCTGACTTGCCGGGCTGACTGGGTGTGGCGGAGAGTCATCCACCTCAACCACCTCATCATACGGGCCAGGAAGGGCTGGAGTTCTGGACCTGGCCCGGCGTTGGGATTGAAAGGGGTTAGCTAAGCCGCAACGGCCACAATAGTTTTCGCCAGCGTATATGGTGGTAAAGAGATCATGATGCTTCTTCCCAGCTTTAACGCAGTAGACGTACTCTGGGGGGATGTCTGGGGGTGCCATTCTATTTCAAGAGAGACGTTAAGAAAATGGAAGCAAAAAAAGAACCAAACTGACGTTGGGAACGAGATTTAATGGTTTACAAACCATAACAATGTTGCCCTTTGCTACGGTGGATGATGATCACTAGACTCTCCTGAGCATGAGATCACCGCGCTAGTCCGCTGCTGACCCGGCGCGGGGAACACTGCGCTAAGCCGCTGCTGGCATATCACACTGTGTGCTCACAAATAGATGTTGGCAACTGGAGTTATGCAAGAATTGTGCCTGTTACTCAAATGGGTTCGCAATGCGAGTTTCTGAATTGTAATTTGAGACTATAGAACAGGGGACGCTAGCATATACACGTCCACTGCTTTTTAGGGTTCCGTCAAGGTAATTTACCGAACGGTAATTTACCTATCTGACCAAGGTTTTTGACGTCAGAAACCTCGAGGTATTTTACATGACAAAAACCTCTCATTGGCCGATGTCCATTTCTTCTCCACTATTTTCTAAATCGGTCTCTTCCCAACCCTAGCCATCCACAAAAATGGAGTCTTGGAAGGTGTTTTCTACCTTCATCAACCGAGCAACATCAACTGTCTCCCAGTTTTTGACAGCCATCGGTTCTGCCGGATTATCTTTGACCGTCTTAAGCTCTTTAACACCCGACTATTCATATAGATGAAAGTGACTTGGTCAGTGCTAAGCGGACTAAGCCGATTCCGAAGCTTACAATGAAGGTAGTTCGCAGCACTGAGAGAACGCTCTGAAGGAACAGAGTTCATCGTTTTAGAACAATATTTGCACCGAACGCGAAGTTGAGTGAATTTACCCGCTCCTGGAGGAATTGGGGCCGCTGCAAAGTGTTCATGAACACCAAGAGTTTCAGGGTGGCCGCCTTTACTCATTGTAACAGTTCCATGTCTATTACTTTTCGACATCGCGGGTGGGAATTGGTGATATGACGCACTAAACCTATTCCATGCACTAACTAATCCTAATATGGCTAGGAACTAAGCCTAAAACGGGAGGGTTTTTGACGTAAATTACCGCCAAAAACCCCCTTTAGGAATTTGACCGTCAAAAACGGTTTTTGACGGTCAAAAACGGAACCCTACTGCTTTTAAAGCTGGACAAAGTGATTATCATCCGGCACAGCGCCGTTCAACTTACAACCACAGCCAATGAAAATCAGGTTGATTACAATCCCGTATCGCTCGCTAAGAATTGCTTGAAAAGAACTAAACTACTTAGACCACATTGTGTAGGTCGAGGTTCTAGAACGTCGCGCGGGCCCGTTGCTACTTCGCAGCGTTTGCGATGGGGGTTGCTTGGGCGGGACGGATACGTACCGCGCGGGCCCGCTGCTGGTCCGCAGTACCTACTCTAATACTCATGCCTAAGTATCTGAACTAATAAGGTGTGGGGTGATTTCTGGCTTAAGAGTGGAGAAGGGGCCCAAAAGACAACTGACAGGGGGTTTTGCAACAGTGTTCCCTATCGGCCTCCGTAACTGAGTGGTGAGGATGGTGTCTGAGCCATCCGCCTGGGACCGGGTGAAACACCAATGGTGCCGTTCACGGCCGCAGGGCTGTTCTGCAAGAGGGCTGCACGGGCTCCTCGGTTCAGATTGGCGGGAGTGTGGATCCCCAGATCGAAGGGGTCCGGAGCAGCGGGCGGGTTCGTCGTAGACGAAGCCATCGCCGCGGCTTGCGACTGCGCAAAGCGCAAATTGAGGCGTTTATTGTGCACTTGTTAAGGATTTAGGTGTAGACAGGCCACTTTCTTAACACTTGTATGCCAAGAAAGTGTGATGACAGTGCTCGAGACCTGTGCTGAGGTCCTTGCGCACTGAAGAGATAGGGTAGATTGGCTCACTCGATCTGTTGCGCAATGCACTTGATCTCCGAGCAAACACGCTGGTCTCTACAAAATATCCATCATGCAAGTTGAAGGCATAGTCGCTGAAGTTCTCCTGGCGAGAGCACCTTACTGGCATTGATTCCACCCTGGTTGGAATTATCTTTCCCAGCTGTCATTTCGACGCCGAGAAAGGTCATCTACGCCTTACCCCCACTGGCGCCACCCAACCAAAACCCGACTATCGTACACCAAGTCCAGTCCGCCTGGATCTGCGCCCAAACCAAAACAGCGACTTCGCAGATTCCCTTTGACTGCATATGATGGCTCAACCTCGAAGTTCCCACGACGCAACCTTGCGTGAGCTGAGTGACGAGCTCGAAGAATCAATTCTGATCAGACGCCAAAATGGCGCGCAAAGGCTGACGCGACACGGCGTGTGGCTGTCCGCTTTTCGCGTTTGGCGCAGTGCCCTAATTAAGTGCCCCTCGCCGGGCATAACATTAGGTAGATGGTCTCGAGCGCACCACTCCAAAGGTTTCAAAAAGACTGAATGATATGCCACGCGTCAACATGCCTCCCGGGTCGTCTCTATTCGTAGAGGACGTTCAATACGCAGAATTTAGCTCGCCGGCGCCAGAATCAAGCATCGCTGCAATTGAGCGGCCTCATTCACAACGGTCAATTTTCTCCGTCCCCTTTTCCCCCACATCATCCGCGTCTACGCGTCGATCGCAGCCGAAGAAACGTAAACTACGCACTCCAGAAACCTGGAAGCACTTCCGTGTGCCTCAAGGAGACGAAGAGACACACCAGAATAACCAGAGACTGTGGTATTGTCAGCATTGCCACAACCCGCCATGGCGAACAGTCTCGGCCACAAGCGCCAAACGACATATGCGAAAGGACCACGGTATTATCATTGATGGTGAAGAAAGGGCAGCCAAGAAGAGACTTCAACAGTCTCTTGAAGTAGCATTCACACGCGCAGAAGGGAAGAATCGAGAGATAGTATCCCGTGGCGAACAATCGATCCTACGGAATACGATACAACTTGACGCATTCTATGAGGCCCAGATCCAGCTGATCACACGCCGCCGTCTCCCACTCAACTGTGTCTCTTGGCCGGAATATCAAGCACTTCTTGGCGCAATTAACCCTATGGCTGAAGAGATCCTCATCCAATCAGGCACTACGGTATTGGCTCATATCGAGCAGTCATACGTCGTACACCGCGAGAACATCAAGGCTCAATTACAGGCGGCAAAGTCACAAATCCACTTTAGCATTGATCTATGGTCATCGCCGCATCGCAAAGCCTTTCTCGGAATATGTGGGCAATGGGTTGATGCACGGTATGAACTCCGTGAGGCTCTATTAGGTCTGCCAAACGTACAGCACAGTCACTCCGGAGAGACAATGTCACGGCATTTGCTGGACACTATCCGCTATTTCGATATCGCAGACAACATTGGCTACTTTACATCTGACAACGCTACCGCCAATGACACTTGCCTGCGTGCTTTATCAACGGCATTGGCGAACGAGTTTGGCGTCGGAATGGACCCCGGTGAGCGCCGTGTTCGATGCGGAGGCCATATTATCAATCTCTGCCTCCACGCGTTTCTCTTCGTCTCCAGCAAAGAGGCACTCCATGCGGCAATTGAAGAGGCAGATGGTAACGCGAACGCCACAGTCGTTGAGTCTCTGCAGGCGCAATTGCAGCAAAAGAACAGCAAGGGGAAGCATCGAAAAGTGCCGGAGGATCTGTTGACCGAGGCGACCAAAGAAGGTCATATCTAGGATACGATCATCCAATCCGCCGGGGCGCTTGGCAGGCTATTGCTTGGACCTTCTTATTAGATGTGGTCCTTGTGAACAGCTTCCTCTTACAGCTACACGGCCAGCCGGCTTGGAGCCGTTATACTAACCCGAAGAAGTGGAGGGAACGCCTTTACAACGAGGTCTTTAAAGCCTTCCATCCGAAAAGTCAATCGAGGCAGCTTTTCCGAGCTGGGGACGAATTTACGCCTGTTGCACAACATAAGCACGTCCGAAGAGGGAAAAAGTCGAATTGCCACGCTTGTCAGGGACTTCAATTAGGGCAGCCAAGGTCAAGAAGCTCAAGGAGGCCGTTGGCGCTGGTCAGTCGTAATAAAAGGAGGCGCCAGACAGTTTGGGGATGTGAGCAGTGTGATGTAGCGATTTGTAACTCGAGAGATTGCTGGTACTTCTACCATAGGCTAAAATAGGTGAGGGGCTAGGTACCTTTAATCCGATGCATTTTTTATTGGCTGCCAACCCCTGCTGTGACCCGACCGGAGCTCCTCGACAATTGAAGGGATAGCCTTCCGTACTTGTCCTCCCGGGCGGAATAAATTTCATTTATCCATTCAATGCTCCCGCTTCGCTCGGAGATCTTAGTCAACAACGTCTGCTGGTACCATACTCGGCGAAACCCTGCGCTCTGAGTTTACATAATGTGCTCCGGAGCTAAATCGAAAAGCGGTACGCCAGTCGGGAAAGGCCGAATATCGTGCCGCTCGAGGCTTAGCAAGCCCGCCGACAATTGCGGACATCCAGTGGATGTTAGAGAACTACTAGTACATAATACGACGAAGCTCCCTTTTCAGCTCCCGTCTCTAACACAAACTGCATAAATTGCCCTTCATCGACCCCCATACTCTATCTACAATGGCTCCTTTGGACAACGTCGTGGTCCCCAAAGGATCCTTGGTTCTAGTCACCGGAGCAAACGGTTTGTTGGGCTCGCATATTGCTAAGCAGTTCCTAGAATATGGCTACAAGGTTCGCGGCACTGTCCGGGATGCCACGAAATTCAGCTGGCTACTCGAGCTCTTCCGGAAGGACTATGGGAGGGACAGCTTTGAGCTTGTCCAGGTCGACGATCTGGCTGCCAAGGGAGCGTTGGACGAAGCAGTCAAAGGTAATTTCCACCAAAGGCTACCACGGTCGATCGGTCATGAAGCTAACGTTGCATTTGCAAAGGTGCTACCGTGGTCGCTCATACTGCCTCCGTCGTGTCGTTCGATCCCGATCCAAACAAGGTCATTCCCTTCGCCGTGGATTTTGCTGTCAATGCCCTGGAGACTGCGTACAAGGAACCGAGCGTGAAGCGGTTCGTCTTCACATCCTCCTCGGCAGCTGCGGTTATTTCTTCGCCGGATATTCCCCCGGCCAATATCACCGAGGACTCCTGGACAGACTTCATTGTCGATGCAGCTTGGGCAGACCCTCCTTACACCCCAGAGCGTGGAATGACGACGTACGCCGCAAGCAAGAACCAGGCCGAGAAGGAAGTCTGGAAGTTCCACAAGGAGAACCGCCAGAAGCGTCCGGATCTGGTCGTGAACACGGGTAAGCTTCTCGCGCTCGTGGCAGTGGCATCGTGTTGTGTGTGCATCAACTAATTGCATTATCAGTCCTTCCCAACTTTAACTTCGGCAGATCCCTTGACCGCGAGAAACAGGGATATCCTAGCAGCTCCCTTCTGCCTCTTAGTCTGTTCAAGGGCGAAGTTTCGCCATTCCACGAAGGCGTCACGCCCCGTAAGCAACACCTTTCCACTTTCGTGCGAGTGTGCCATGTCCGGCTGACACATGAATAGAATACTTTGTCGATGTTGATGACACCGGCAGGCTTCATGTTGCGGTAGCTGTCCTGCCCAATCTAGAAGACCAGCGCATCTTCGCTTTCGCTGGACGATTCAACTGGGACACTGTTCTGGACATTTTCCGCAAGCATGTGCCTGACAGGAAATTCCCCGACAACTTCAGTGGCGGCGTAGATGGCAATGAAATCCTACCCCGGGGCAAGGCGGAGCAGCTGCTTCGTGATCTGGGACGTCCGGGCTGGACCAGCTTGGAGGAGTCGATTTTGGCCAACATCGAGGGTCTGTACTGATATACCGAATAATTGATAGGAGACTACAGTGCCCCGCGATCTCGCTGCGTGATCGAATTTAGGGCGGGGTAGTCGCAGCGAAACAGGATGTTGGAATGAGGCAAGGATCACGATGAGAGTGAACGACCACAAATAGCATCAGGCAGCAGGCTGCTGCCTATGATATCGGCGGTTTGAACATAGGTATAAGGGACCGACCTTCGTCGGTCCCTTGGATAGAATCAAGCAGCTCAATATGACAAGCTCTTCTGCCCACTCCCTCTGTTGCACCCTTAACTTCTGAGACAGTAGCCCTCCACCCGGCTTCCTGGCGAGGAGGAGAACGGGGTTAGCAGCAGCTGGGCTGCTAACTAGAATAAACCCTTTATCGAGAAACACGGTGGCCGAGCCTAATCCTAAAAAGGGCTCCACTCACAACAGTCACACCCAGTGTCGATTAATTCCTCCAGGGTGTAATGGATTTCATTCATTCATAGGAGGGTGCTTGCGGAGTTTCCGTGAGTTAGGCCGCTGCCGGGGCATGGAAGTCACTGTGCAGTGTTGTGCTTGGTAAGACGAGAGGGGATCGTGGCGGCCGAGAGCCAAAGGTTCACTAATCAGTAGCCCTATGAGGTTAGTCCTCCCGGGTGGAATAAATTTCATTAATTCATTCACTATCCGTAATCAGTCAACAAACTCACGTTGGACGATTATTAATCAAGGTTTCCTCCTCAGGACTCGGAGCATCACGTCAACACCACCCACGTCAAAACTGGTGCGACTTGACGACCGAGCAAGGGGTTTCCTAGGGTCATTGTTACCTTTGCAGGCCATATGGCACGAACCCAGAGCCGACCGAGAGGGCGGTGGAAATTTGGGAACTACTAGTTGGGTTTAACCACTGTCGCCATTGACAGACGTCAGAGCGGTCCTCCTTTCCTTCCTCCGGAGGGGAACCCAACTGCTAAAGGCCGAGCTGGAAACTCATCCAGCGACGCACGTGGTGTGTTTCGAGCCGATTCAAGCCTACACGGTTGGTCGGGTTGAGGGAAGGTAGCGCCACGACCGGCCGAGAAGTTCGTGCAATTATCTCACGGAGACGGTCATAGTCAGGGTTACGACTTCCGCTTAGTCAACCCCGAGCCGAGGGGACGAGCTGCCCTGAGTATCAGTAATCTTTCCGGTTGTTGAAGGGCGATGCAATGGCAGGATTAATAATCACGAGACCCCCCCCCCTAAAATTGGTCAACAGGCTAGACACAGATGGAATGGCACTAATTTGGGAGCTCACATCCTACCATGCACCCGGACAATCCGCGGTGGGCTCCTCCAAGTCCACGGGGTCTTCGCTTGCACGTCACATCTTCCTCGGCGAACGCAGAAATGTTTGTGTCTGGTGACAAATCCGGCCGTAGATGAAGGCGCTCTTTCTAGCCATGGGAGTCCACTTCATGGTTCCCGCCTCTAGAAGACGATGAGCTCTGGAGCATGAACCACAACTGGAAAATGAACAAGATCTTGATTTGGGACGATTGACAACATTCTCCACAGCTTCTCTAGCGATGGCGGCAGGATCGCCTTTGGTTCTTTTCTCACTTTCGGAATGACGGTCGATTGTAACAGCCAACGCACAATGAACTCGAAACCATCAATATATTACTTGAATCTGATACATCAACTCAGGGAGAGCCAGGGTTTAAATCCACGACACTCCACGACACATTTGCCTTTGAGGAACGAAAAGGTTCTTTCTTCCTCGCCCTGCTTACCCGAGCACGGATCGCGGAGTGGTCCGTGCTAGCCAGCTTCACCACAATTTCTGCGCCACAATCACCTTCGCGCCACAGGAATCAAACAACAACAACCACCGAAAAAAAAAAAAAAACCTGGGGAAAAAACTGGGGCCCCAGCTGGATGTGTATCTCTTCTTTGAGTGGCACAAGGCAACAAAAGGTCACTTGACCCACTTGACCCCACGTACCAGAAGGCTACAAAGGCTTTATATGTAAAGGCAGCTATTAGAGCCTGTACTTCTTTGTAGCTTAGCTACTTCTATAAGAGTATAGCCTCTTTTTTTCCTGACTTTAACTGGCTATTAGCTTTTTATACTTATTCTTATTGGTTATTGGTCTTTTGTATACAAGCTGATCCTGTATTGGCTGAATTAATTCATCTAATTGGCCTGATATCCCTGTCTTGACCGTTTTGTTGCCTTCTGCCACTTAAAGAGATACAGGGTAATCGAGTCAGCAAGACATTGGTTTGTCCTACGACATTCTTAGTGACGTTTGCCGATTTTTTTTTCTTCCTTTTTTGCTAACCAAGGACCCGTTACTTGATACGTCTACTTGAACCTGGTCATGTGACACATAAAGAAAGAAAAAAAAAAACCAGCGATTGAGGACAAGAGCTGTGATTTTCATGCCGACACCAAATCATGGTCTTACAGGAGTCAATTCTTCGTGCATCATTTCCGCACTTTTCGCTCAGGGCATATGACAAATCCACCGCTTGGTCCATGGTTATGAACATGCTGGCTTTCGTTCTTCTTATATCTTATTTCCCACCGGTCGCTTCCTATTTTGACCTCCACGGCGTTGAATGAAAATGGACAGTCTCCCTTCCCTCCACGGTTACACTGCCAAACCATTCTCTTCTTCGCGACCGGGTCTCCTGTGATTCTTGAGAATTTTTGGAATGATCGACAGATACGAATACCGTAGCTTTGTGATCTGGCGAACTCAACGAGCTCTTGTCTCATTTCGTGAAAAGAAGAGTACGTGGTGCCCTCCGGTGGTAGCTTCATGAGTTGCCCTTCCCGTTCGGCTGGTGGTGCGAATGTATCTTGTCTCATTGGCTCGGACTCTGTGAAGTCTCCGTTTCTGTATTAGTCTGGTGCTTAGCTCTACTCCGCAAAACGCTTTGCGGTGACATGTCGAATGCTAACCTGCTACCAAGATTGAATCCCTCTCATGGCCCGCTAGTTCCTGTTGGAGCCGCAGGTCGACAGGCATATATGCACCGTCCCTGATTTCTTTCCCTGTACCATTCATGCCCCTGGTCGAAGAAGGATCTTTTGCGCGCTTGGGTGGCGAGTTGTCCGGACTGCTGCTGAAAGGGTTTCGTCTTTTTGCCAGGTCGACTTTTGCTTTCTGTGGAGAGGACGCCTTCCTCATCACAGTAGCGCCCTCGAGCGTCGCCTTCGATGTGAAGCTGAACTCATCTACGAGCACAACTAGGATATCTTGCCCAGGTTGAAGCTCCTCCTGTAACAGTGCCGGGTTCAGGACACCAACGATGCTGCCTCTTCCGTACATCCACTTCCCAGATGCGAATCCGCCCTCAGGCAAGCCCTTCATCCAATCGACCCGGCTTTTCCAGGGCTGTTGATCGTGTGGCATGTATGCTAGAATGTGAAACATCTGGCCGCCTCTGAATGTCGGGTCCTTGTCACGGGGTGGTACGAGATAGGTGCTGCATTGGATGAAGCCGCAGCATTTTAGCTGATTGTTACTCAACGATCCAGCCTTGAAACGGAACGCCGTGGTGTCGACAGGTCCGTGGAAGGTAGCGCGCGGTGCTATGGTCGGGAGGCAGTCATTGGCAAGCCTGAGAGGCCTTATCGAGATGCTAAAAAGATGTGTCGGTTAGTATTCTGACCTCTGACTTATGGGCCTGTGTCTCTGCTACATTGGTGCTTTCAAACAGGGCATCGACATACGCTTGAACACACATCTGTCCACGAACCTGGGCCAACTTGGCATATGAGTCTTCCCATCCTCCAATAATGGACTCCTCACCGTCCTCGACTCTACGGCGGAAATGTAGCTGATACGGATGGAGCTGGATGTCGAAGAAGAACCACTGGTTTTCCCACTCATCTGCTTGGGGGAAGGGGTACACGTGCATGGAGAGTGGCACGTCGATTCCATCGATCTCATCGAGCACCTCTCCGTGCTCCCCTGCTCCTCCGTCAAAGAAGCTCGCCTTGACGAATTGCAGCCGGACCGCACCGATCAGATTGTGCCCTCGGATAAGCTGCCGGTCGGTGGATGAAGCTATCTCTAAGCCTTCGAGGCTGGAGAAGAATTGCACTCCCAGGGGGCTTAGAGCTGGCTGCCCTGGCGCCGCTCCCGACAAACGGGCCCTTGATTGCCCGTTACTGGAACCTAGACCTTGAGGCATCAGGGATTGAATCTTGCATGGCACGCAACAGTGTTTTGATGAGAAAGTAGTCTGTCAGAATCATCTCTGGATCTTTCGTGAGATGAGCTCGACTTCTTATACGCAAATGGTCCCCACATTCCGACGGGAAAACAGTTCCGAACTTTGTCCAGGGTCTGCTCCAAAAACCTTCACCCCGCACAATTTTCTCTGGTCTCGAGCGATTCATGATGCCATCGCCCGTCAGCCCTTCTGTATATTGCTTTTTATTATCCCACTCACACCAACACTGTTGGCGCCAGCTGGACGCCGCTGACTACGAGATGCGGTCACCTGCCAAGCGTAACATCTTTGAGCGCAACCTCCATGCCGGTTATTGACGGTCTGAACGTCATGCGATATTTCTGTCGCATGGTTCGAGTGGTTGTAATCTTGAAGCGCCCCTCTGGCACCCTCTCCGAAGTTGCCACCTACGGAAAGCTTCAAAGCTTCTACTCCGTGGACCTAAACTACCGCTGCGCAGCGGGTTAGTCCCTTCCTTCAGGTCTCTGCTCCTCTCTCTCAAAGTCTATTGATGGGATGGCAAATGCCTTATTTCGCCCTCTCGACCTCTGCGTCGATTGAGGGTGGTGTTTCCTCTTTTTACATCCAAGGTCTCATCCTTTCTACATAATAGTCCGTGTTACTTTTACTCGGATCATGCCTCCACCAGGACGAACTCCCCTTCCGATAGAAGATGTCCGCCAAACTCTGGAGAGGCTAGATCGGCAGCACACTGATACAACGGCTCGCACCCGGCGGACCACCCGGCCGCAGCGGGTCATGGAGTCGGAGCTCCGAAACACGAAGCTCAGAATGCCCCTCGAGGAAATCATCCGTGTATCGGACGACCTGGACCGTAGACGCGCCGAACGTCGGACCGGTGGACCCGGACCCTATCGGCCCCACCAGGCTCGCAGGCGCAGTGAATGGGTCCATACGCGGGTTGCTACCGGA